CCCCCCTCCATTCCCCCTTTCCGCTCCCTTCCTTCCCCCCTACCCCTCCGCCTTTAAAACAAAAAAAGAATAAAGAACGACTGCCTCCCAAATTTTCCTCAACGCCATCTTCTCTCAACCAATCAACCAACCAGTCGATCAGTTCAAGAATCAATCAACCAATACATCAATCTCTCTTCTCTCTCTCTCTCTCTCTCTCTTATTCCCTCTCATTTCCCCTCCTACCTTACTGCCATCCCTTTCTTAGAATGAATTCGCCAAAAGAATCTCTCTCTCTCTCTCTATCTCTCTCTCTCTCTCTCGCGCGCGCGCGCACAATGGTATCACAAAATAAAATGCGGCACTCCGTCCATTGCAAAACAAAGAAAGACGAAATGCACCCTGGGCCTCTGGGTTGGGCGCGAAGAAGGGAGAAAGGAAGGAGGGAGGGCGGGAGCTAAGCGGGGAAAGAGGGAGGGAGGGCCAGGGGAGGATGAAGGGCAATGGGGAGAGGGAGGGAGGGTCGAGGGGGACGGGCAAAAGGAGGAAGGAGGGAGGGAGAAGTGCGGGCCGAGGGAAGGAAGGAGCGGGATAGAAGTGAGAGCCAAGGAAGGAAGGAGGGAGATAGAAGTGAGGGTCGACGGGAGGAAGGAGAGAGGAGTGAGGACCGAGGGAAGGAAGAAGGGAGGGAGAAGTGAGGGTTGAGGGAAGGAAGGAAAGAGGAGAGAGGACCGAGGGAAGGGAGGAGGGAGGGAGACATCAGGGCCGAGGGAGGACGAATGTCTGAGAAAGGAGCGAGAGGGGAGAGAGGGCCGAGGGCTGAGGGAGGTAGGGAGGAGGTCATTCGGAGGTCGCGAGTAGAAAGGAAGTGGAGGAAAGAGGAGGGCGGACTGAGGGCCGAGAGAAGATGGAGATGAGGTGGAGATCAAGTGCACGTCGGGTGGACAGAGAAGGAGAGATGTCAAGGGAGGGAGGTAAGAGAAATGGAGACTCACTTAAGTCCGCCATGTCGACTAAACCTCCAGCCGACAACGATCAACCAACAACGTGCAAGCCTTCGGTCACAAAAGTGGACAACGCCTCAAGCACACATTGCAGTACGCCACTTGAAGTTCACGTAGCACCATGCTCACAAACCATGTAGCATCAAGGTCACGAAGCACGTAGCGCCAAGCTCACAAAGCTCGTAGCACCAATGTCACGAACCATGTATCACCAAGCTCACGAAGCACGTAGCACCGAGCTCCCGTAGCACCAAGGCCCGGAGCGCCTGCCACCGAGGGGGAGAGAGAGGAGGTGGGGGAGAGAGAGAGACAGAGTGGGACAAAAGCCCGAAGCACGTAGCACACACAGAGAGATAGATAGATAGATAGATAGACATACACAGAGAGAGAGAGAGAGAGAGAGAGAGAGAGAGAGAGAGAGAGAGAGAGAGAGAGAGAGAGAGAGAGAGAGAGAGAGAGAGAGAGAG